ACACACAACACACACAACACACACAGCACACACAACACACACAGCACACACACAACACACACAACACACACAACACAGACAACACACACAACACACACACACACGCGCGCGCGCGCACGCACGCACGCACGCACGCACGCACGCACTCACGCACACTCACACACACACACACACACACACGCACACGCACACGCACACGCACACGTACGCACAAATAAAGAAACAAACAAACAAACAAACAAACAAACAAACACAAACACACAGACACACAGACAAACCACACAACACACACACACAACTACCATACATGTTGTTGAGTTGGCTGATCTGCCAATGGACATCGAAAAGGGGCAACATCGCTCAGACTGTGTGGTTGGTTGATTTTCATTGCATTCCTAGTAAAGCAGAAAAACAAAACAGATACCAATAAGTAGCTGGGAATCTCTTGGCCAAATTGCGTCGTAACGCGTCGAAGAAACACTCCTCATCTTCATTTCCGCGCAGCTCATCCCGCCACACGGAATACTCCTCCATCGTCATCACATCCGTGCCATCTAGCAAGCGAACGCACGCCATGCTCGTGAATTGGGCGATGCTTGTTTGCTCGAGCCTCATGCGAATCGCGCCTCATAGGATCCTTTTGACAGAAAACCAACGGGATCGGTCCCAAACCCATCCCAAAGCAATGGAGTCGGGTCCAGCATCTCCTTCCCGGGTCAAATCATCTTGCAAACCCCTGAACCGGTAGGCCGGAAACCCGTTGGGGGGCAAACCCAGGCCGCCAGCGTCTTGGGAAAGTGAGAGCGTTGCCCTCTTTTTATTAACCGCCAAGTGGGTTCGCCGCTCAGCTTAGCAAACATATTCATTGCTCATAGAAAGCGGAACTTTTTGGGGTTGACCATGCGCGAAGAGGAAGGGTTGGCGAGCGCACTTGTGGAGGAGAGTGAGACGGGAGAGGCCCCAACATTATGCAGATGTGAGTGAGGTCGACCGGCAGAGAACCTTGCTCCTGCACGATGCTTTGGTCAGGGATAGTGAGGAGAGCGAGGAGGCGAGTTCGTCGTCGCATCTCGGGGGCTACTGACGCCAGAGAGAATGGCCCGATACAGGCGGCGTCAACAAGAGATCACGTCTTTTGCAGCTGCACTCTCTATGAGGAGAGGAGTACCTTGATTTCTACGCCGACATGCCATTTCGCCCTTTTTGCTGGTGTGTTTCAAATATGCCGCCATTGTGCCAAGAGATTGCTGGCTCACCGAAAGCGCATTGAGGAGAATGAGCACCTGGTAGAAAGCTTCCGATGTAGCCGATGTGGCAAATTGACCTCCTATTCGCAACATGTTCGTCTTAAGATTACAAAGTACCCATGCATGCTGGCGGTGCTGCTTCCCAAGATGCGGGATTCAACCATCATCAAAATCACCTGGATCGATTGGAGCGGGATATTCACCTCAAGTACAGCATGGGGAAGCGCAGGACACTTTGGAATAGAAAAACTGGCACAGTACACCAAATAAAGGCATTATTGAATGCCTGAGATGTAAGCGAAAATGGAGGTGAAAGGAGGTGAAAGGACAGGATCAACCACCGAGTTCTTGAAAATTCCAAGAACTCGGTGAGGAACACCTTGGCTTGTGGGACGTGATTTTGTGCAGAAGCAACTTCTCCAGCGCGTTTTGCAAAGAACAAGCGAGGCACAACGTAACGGAGTGCATGGGCCTGGGGTGAGACAGCGACAGCGCCCCATTGCTTCCGTTCCCAACGGGTTTTGGACCTCCAGCCTGGCTGTTTGTTTCCAACGACCGGCTGCCCATTCTTTGGCCCAAAGTAGAACCCGAACCGCATGGGCGGCTTGTCGAATAGGGGTATGTGACCCAAAGGGCAGGGCTTTCAGGGAATCGAATCCAGTGCGACTGATTCTTGCGACAAGTACCGACCTGATTTTGCGGACCGTGAGCCCAGGGCAATTGACTGATTCATCAGCCTCCTGTGTGCTTTGGTCAGCCCTTGCTCCTGAGGCCCCCCCAATGCCGGACCCCCCCTTTGGGTTTCCAATGGACCTCTTGAGAGATGGGGAGCTCGCTTCGAGGAGCCTTCACAAGAGGACTGGTTTTGATGCTCATGACTCATGAAACAAACCTCCCAACCAGTCAGAAGGCCCGTAAGAAAAAGGACTCCCCACTAGCACACGAGGGCATCCAAAAGGACACTAATCAGAGTCGGCCCACTCCCTTTGGAATTCTGATCAAACACATGGGACCCGTCTCACTTCCCCCAAAATACCTACGCCTTCATGAATCACCCCCAACCGGGTAGCAACTCCAAAACGACACGCCCATTGATCCCCACACCCCCAGAAAAAGCGGAAGCATTGAAGCAAACTGGCGAACCAGAGTTTGCCTTTTCGACTGAAATGAACCACCTCCCTTGAAAGGGGTTTCTACACTACCAGGGGGGCGGCTTGTTTATCCCACCAGTGGAAAAGGCGAACCATGGGGCAAACTTGCAACTGACAGCTGGCTTTTTGTGGAGTTCCAAGAAGGCAACAAAAGGTCTCACGGAGTGCACCCGAACGCACCCGAACTGGTGAACCGGTGAACCGGACCGGCCTCGTCGCATTTCTGGCTGACCGTGGTGGCCACGTACTGCAAGAGGCTCTCTGCACAGAGCCTCACCTGGCCAAGAAGCCTGACTCATTGGTTTCCTTCAAGGGCATGGGGATATATGTGTTTGGTGTTGTTTTTGTGGGGCATTTTCTGAGTCGCCCCTCCCCCCACCCCCCGGTTTTTGTGGGGATCTTTTTGTGAGTTCCTCCATGGACCATGGACATGTCCACAGGGACAATTTTGGTCCACTTCCATTGCTGGAAAAAGGGCATCCCTTTCAAAACCAAAAGTGACCACCCCGAAAAACAACTCCAGGTCTTTTGCTTTGGCAAAAAACATGAGGGATCCGATGATGCTCTTGCCTGGGCCACCTGTTGACTAGGAATCTAAAAAGGGGTACTGGGGTACCAAAAGAGAGACTCTCAGGGTAGTTTCCCTTTCCAAAAAAAAACAACTCTTCAAAGGGGTAATCGCTTTCCTGCAAATCAACATGAAACTTAAAAGCGAGTACAAAACGAGCATCCTCTCATAGCGTTTTTGGGGGAGTGTCTTCTCCAGATGGCTCAAAGCGGACCGCTCCTTCTCCCACTCGTCCTGCTCAGTCTCGCCCAAACCTTGAAGGGCAAAGCGGGTCAAACTGAATGGGTCGTGGCTCATTTTTGGCGTCTGCTAACACCACCCCCTTCTGGCTGCTTTGATAGAGAAGCCAAAAGCGCAACATTTGTTCTTCGATGTCCCCAATGTCGAAAACGCCCAGGCTCCCAATTTTAAAGAAAACGCACAAATCGGCCGTGACCGGCCAACGCCCCGGCGGAAAAAGCCGACCTGCCCCGTTCACGCTTTGAGCATCCCCAGAGGAAAGCTCAACTTAAATCGGCCACGGCGATGTTCAAAAACGCCCTGGCGGGGGGGGGGGGGTAACTGCGGGGGAACCCCCTTTTGAGTGGATCTGGCAAGAACAAATTGGCCAGGCTGCACACGTCGATTGGGCGACGCCCGGCTGGGTCTCCAACCGTCCAGGAACGTGAGCCTTTCGTTGAGCTCCTAAGACTGGCTGACCCCCACGGGTTGCTTTAAAGGCTTCGGGCGTCCATCCACCCAAAGTACCTGACAAATTTCCCGCTTCAAACAATCCAAACAGGCCCAAAACGTGATACACTTAAACCACCCATAAACTTATTTTGGGAAATCCTACTGTTTTGGGGAAACAGCTCCTTTCAGGGAAAGGATCTCATACTCCCTTTATGGCCTAAAGGGAGTATGAGATCATTTCCCTGAAGGAGCTGTTTCCCCAAAACAGTAGGATTTCCCAAAATAATGAATATGGGCTGTTGGGGTCCTCGTTCATCTGCAGGAGACATTCCAAATGCACGCCACCCCTTTTGCAGAAGGTAAAGTTGGGGGAGACTCTGCATCCAACGCCCTCCCTCCAACAATCATGGAAGCTGACAGGAAGGTGGTAGAAGACTATCTTCCTTTCAGCAAATTCCACGATTGTTGGAAAGAGGGTAATGCCGGGTAATGCTGTGGATATCGGCAAGATCCTGCACCAGTCAGGATGGATGAATACAGGCAAACAACACCCACTGGTGCAGGTTGTCCACAGCATCAGGTGCTGTGCAGCTGTTCACATCTTGAATAAAGTTTCAGGGCCGAGTTACAAAATCCTGGGGGGAGGGGTTTCTCCAACGGCTTAACTTTCTGTCTGGCTTCCCCTTGAAAAACTCCACCGAAAAATGCGACTAAAGTCCAGAACCCCCGTGGCTGCAACAGGGTTGGGCAATCCCAAGCTTCACCATGCTCAAAGCAAAATGTTGGCATATGTCAAAATAGGGGACGGTTGAAACAAGCTCCGGTTTCCCCCAATAGGACCTCTGGCTGTTGAACCAAAACTCACCCAACCCTGGATTCGCCGACTTATCCACGGACAGCCTGCAGCCCGCATAAAAGCAAGGAACCATAATTGATTAATAGCAAAACATATCATCATAATATAAATGCGTAGTAACAAGAAGAAGAAGAAGAAGAAGAAGAAGAGGAAGAACAGGAAGAAGAAGAAGCTCCTTTATACACACACACACATTACGCATCATTTTTCGGCACACCACCGGAAACATCTTTTGTACCCAGTGTCCATGACTCTGGTTGATACCCAATTGAGCCGGCTGAGTTCCGAGTCGATCGTCGATCCCATCAATCGCATCGCGGGCTCCTCTAAGGAGAGCTCTTGCCTGAACCGCAGAAGGCCTCTTTGCGCCATGGGCAGCAGAACCTTGGAGCAGATGCGACATGAGCCATAGGGAAGCAAAGGAAGAAAACCAAAGGAAGGCATGAGCCATGGGAATGGCTCAAGACTAAAGAGCCAATGGGCACACCGCAGGTCTTGGGCTCTCGAATTTCCATTTGACAAGATTTTGGTGCCACTTTTTTGAGCCACAACCCATACATACATATATATACATAAATATAAATATGTATATGCTAACATGGCACGGAACGAGCTTTGAGCAACTCTGGTAACCGCTGCGGCTTTGCGGCCTGGCCCTTCGGCCCAGCACTGGCAACCTGATTTTGGGTAGAAACCCGCGACGGATGGCCCTCGTTGCCATGCAAGTTGAACCAGCAGAGCCAACACTCGGCTCCTTTACCAAAAAGGGCAGGGAAAAAACTTACCCCTTAAAACTCCAAGCCCTGGGGAAGTTAATCTTTTACAGACATATACCCCATGTTACCCAAAAAGTTGAAAGTTGTGTTTTTAAGAGGTAAGAAAAGGGCAGGCTCTGATTCTGGCAGGTTGGGAGAATCCAACAGCACTTCACAAAGGACACCCGAAACCAACCTTTGCGACTTCTTGTCCGTGTTGCAACAGCTTTGGCCCCGAGAAACTCCTTCCCAATTCGCAGAGACCCTCAACAAGAGTAACTACGCAAAACATATCCTCACCCCGAACTTTGAAAAATGTGAAAGAGGCCCTTCATAAGGCGACTTCCACACTTGAATGGGCAGGGTGCTGAGTAGAGGTAGTTCGTAACCTTGGTTCTGACTCACTTGCGGGCCTTACAACCTAGTATGATCATGGGTGCCAAGTAAGCACTACCCCTCCTTGAAGTATATTCGAACGGCTCAAGCCCTGGGCAAAACATTTCCGTATGCTCGGATTCTGCTTCATATTTGGTCAACCTCAAGGTCTAAAATGCTATCGGAGGAGACCCCCGGCGTGCGGATTGAGATCCAAAGCTCCAAACGCCCCTTTGCAGGGCCAAGAAGGGCATGACTTGCCTGATCTAACAATAATTTACTAGGAATCACCACGCATTTTTGCAGGAATGCCACAAACATAGGTGTCCTTTTGGTAAAATAGATGGCCCTGGTAAATGGAACAAACCCCATCGAAACCAGTGGAACCCATCTATTCTTAACTTTATTAACCAAACGAACCTAAAAATTGGACACCCATGACCACAACCCCAAGAAATAAAACCGGTTGCTGATTCTCCCCCCCGCCCATCTCCGCCGTCTCTCGGAAATGGCCATCTCTGGGGCCCGCACGGTGTGGACTTCGTCTTTGGGGAAGGGCCTCGGCAACGGCACGCGCGCGCGGCGTGGAGGTGACCCCGGTAGCACGGGGGGAAATCCAAAATGCAAAAAAGGACCATCCGAGCTTGCAAAGGAATATCAAAAGGAACATCCAAAGGATAAATCCGAAGGGGAAACATAAGGGAAATCCAAATTGGGAAATGCAAAGCGCGCCCTTTTGACTTGAGCCACTCGTGGGGGACTGCGCTTGTAGTCAATGGAAGAGGTCATTTTTCCAAGGCCTTGCCCCCCCTTAGTTACCCCCAACAAAGGTATAATTAAAGAACCACTTCTTGTGGTATCGACGTCTCGCGATCCTTGTCTCTGTTTGCCACCTCCAGCTCAAAAAGACATCCCGCACTAAATAAATCGCACATGTTTGGACCTAAAGAAGATCCCTTAGGTCCTTTCGGGGTCAGTAGCGAAGTACCATTAAAATAAAAATAAAATCAGAAAAACCCTTTTTATGGGAGGACAACAATTGAGCCTCCAAAGACCACGAAGCAACAAACGGCTCTGGGCTTCGGGATCAAGCCTCTTCGACGAAAACGCGACTCTGAGCTCAGGTCCCGAAACGGAGACACACGGCAGTTCTTTACTTGGGGGCCCGCAAAGGGCCACGGTGGACATGACTTGGATGGCAACTCTATATCTAACCTTGGAAATGGATATGTTGCGTTGACATGGTCATCCAAATCTCCTGTTCTGTACCCCAGCCCATGGAAAAAATGAGACACATCCTGGGTAAAACCCATTGAATAGATCAAACAATCTCATGGGCAAGGCTGTGGGGAATCACCACTTCTGTGATACAACAGAAAGGGCTTAAGACTATTTTCTTCATATGAAGGTTGGGATTCCCACTTGTATCACAGAAGTGGTTGGAGAAACCCCGAGTGATCAACCACAACCCTGCTCCTGGGTTTTCACGGAGCTTCCACGTCAGAAACTCGGAGCCTCGGATCGCGATCCGAGCTGAGCTCGGGTCCCGGATCCCAGGAAGAGCGAGCGCAGCTCCTCCTTCCTGGGGTCCAGCAAACTCTCGGGGCTGCGATGCCCATCCGCCTCAGCGGGAAAAAAAAGTGACATCGACAGGTGTCCTTTTGGAAAAAATGAAGACGGCCCTGGGAAATCATCTAAACCTGCCTTTTGGAGAAAAAAACGATGGCCCTGGTAAATGAAATAAACCCATCCAAACCAGCGAAACCCATATATTTTTAACCGAACTAACCTATAAAAAAGACACCTATGGCCCATCGACATGGAAATCCCATGGCGCCGAACTTGCGATCGGCGCGAGAGATGTAGGGAATGAGTTGCATGGAATACCCCGCAACCATCCAACTGGTGGTTTCCTTTAAGGGAATCCCCAGGTTTCCCACATTCCCTGAGCACCAGCAAGTTTGTTGGGGAAAACCAAGCGGTCGGTGTCCTTTTGGGTGTCCAACTTCCGGATCACATTTTGGGGCAATTGATCGAGGAATGTCGCAATTGGACAGCTTGCTTTGAATTTCGCTTGAAGCGCCATCCAACAGGCCCCCCCCCCATTTGTCAAATTCTACCAAATGGGTATGGGTCAAAAAACTAAATCACCAGGATATGGACCACAGGGCTTGGGTCCATGTTTCCACTTGATCTTTGAGAACCAACCCATTTTGGGGTATCGTTTCATTTTTGACCACAGCCATACATCATTGCGCCTTCCTCATCGTGTTTCTCCCCACGTGGGAGACGTAAGCCAACCGCTCGAGCCACGGCGGAAGCCCTTGGCTGGGGCGGCGGCTGTCGGCACGAAGGGCACCTTTTGCAGCGCCTGGGACGACTGACTGCCCCAGCTGATCTTCCAGATGGCCTTCAGGAGCTATGTTTGTGGGAGGGTAAATACCGGGGTTGTGGTGTGGTTTTTGGTGCTTGCGGGCCACCTTTTAGTCACAACTATGAGTATGTTAGTGACTATTTAGCGCATTAGAGGTCCTTTTGCAAGTTCAGGACTCATTTGATCATTGCCTCATTTACCCTTTGAACTAAAGAAGCTACCGTGTTGCTTGTTACTCGGGAAAACACCAATTTCTAAACATCAAAGGGTCAAAGTCTGAAAGGTCGAGCAAACTTATTATATAAAACACCAATCGAGTCGAAAACATTCTTTGAGCAGAGTGACTTGAAATTGGCTACGTCAACATGCGGGGTCCCAAATATAGTCTGACCAAAACCGATCTTTGATTTGCTGACGAAACCATCCACCAAGAGTCCTTTTGATAGGCGCGAGCAGCTCCAGCTTGGGCTTATGGGTCGCCTAAGCCCAATCGCCGATCCAATTGCAGCTGTTGATTCTGAATAGTCTCAAAGATGGGTCGAGATCAGCAGCAGTCGCCCAAACGTTAGGATCATTGATGACCAGCCTGGCTGCAGAATTCTAGCCAGAGACATGGACAGTCATAAGACGGCAACATTGCTCCAAACCAGGCCGAAGATAAAGGTGGATGCACCTGCATGAACTCGGTAACTGTCGTCTTCTCAGCTTGTCGAGTCAAACCTTCAGCCCTGATTGTTGTTGAAGGGCTGCTTGCCATGGGCGTAAGGTTGAAGCAACGGTTTGACCGCGCAGCACTTCCTCTTGCTGCGAGCGCAGCCTGGAAGAAGAGCTCGAACTGTCATTTCGATCGCCAGACTGAGTTCAAGGGTGAGCAACGTTTTGGGGAAAAGGCAATTACATGCTGCACTTGGTCCCTGTCCGGGACATGGCTCGGGTGTGCATGATCTCCCTTCCAATTTTGCAGAGTGAGCCAGGGTCGAATGGGAGCCAAAGCGAGTCGGTCGCGATCAAGGCACGTAGCCCAGTCAATCATAGGATAATCCCATGCGACTTGCATGGAAAGAGCATCTCCCTGCCAGGCACTTGGCACGTGGAGCCTTCAACCATGGCAGCTTCAGGCGGAAATGGCTTCCAACCTGCAGCTTTGGGATTTTTTGGCTGACTCGTATGGATCTGTGCCACACTGATTTGCCTCATCAAGCTCCGAGAGACCGTCGCGGCAAGTCGGAATGCAACCTCAGCCCCTGTTTGGCTCGGAACAGCGTTCCGTCTAAGAGATTTGCTTGCTCGTCCGGAGGGATGAGGCGGCAGCAGTTTTCTGTGGCAATTTTCGTGGTGGCTGTTGCTATCGTGTCTTGTTGCTTTGCGATTCCTTGACGGCATCGCAAGCCCAAGAACTGGAATTGCAATGCTGCCCTTCAGCCAAAGCTTGGTGGAGGTTCGTACTGATGGCCCACGACTTAGCGAGAGCTATGACGTCCAAAGCCACGACCAACATCGACAAACAAGTGGGCTCGGGTCGGTGGGGAAAAGCTATTCCATTTGAATTGGGGAAGCCCAAAAGAGGGCAGCCCCATAAGATGGGCTTGTTTTCCTTTGGTTTCCTTTTGAACCCGTTCGGAGGGGAAGCTCAAGCGGCACACGCCCATCCGCCTGGACACAGGGCTCGTTCCCCGCCAGCTCCATCTCCCGCCAACGCTGGACCTCGCAATCGGCCGTGTGGCCTTGAAGGGTGGGAGCTATCTGGCTGTGGCTCAAACAAGAAGCTCCCAAAGTGGAGCCCTAGGAAATGAAAACACGGACTCAAACCTGTGGTCGCCTAGGTTTTGTTTTTGGACCCATGCCCATCTCACTTGCAACCAAAGGACCCAAGAAACAAGGTGAGTTCCTGGACCATGACGACATGATCGAAATTGTTGAACACCATGGAAAACCCAAAAGGGTCAGGCCTGGTCAGGATTAGCCCTGGGGCATTCAGGATTGCCTTTGAACAGCCCAGCTAAAGTTTTTGTTGGGGTGGTTTGAGGAGATCGGAATCCAAAGGAGTCGGTGTCTCGGAGGTTGCCCTCCTGCCATGGCTGGGTGCGCCGGAGCCACGTAAAAAGCCGGTGGAAAGTTGGAACCCACTTGGCAAGCAGCGTTCGCTCATTGACTTGTGGGACAAGGTAGGCTTCCGTTTGCACCAAGAAACACAGCTGGGTCATCGAAGTTTCTGTCCACAGTCACCTTTTGAGGTGCGGGAAACTTGTGTATGGCTCGCCGAAGTTGGGACATGGCATAAGGGTTGATCAATATTCCCTTCGGCCTCCAAATGACCATAACTTGCCCCATACCAGTCCGCATGGTCCCATGTATCACGGACCTCATCAAGACCCTGGCATTTGGCTCGCTTGTCCTCTTTGCCTCCCGAAAACCAGAAGCCAAAGGATTTGAGGGATTTGAGTGAAGGCGCCCTTGGTGTTCCTTTAACGCGGTACCCCCAGCAAGGGCACCCTAAGGGAACCCAGCATTGGGGGGTCCACATCCCTATGTTCTGTTTGAGGCTCGCTACCCTTGTCAGTTTGTTTGTAGGGGGTGATTCCCCCATTCTTTTTCAGGCATCCTTCTTTTCAAGCAGCTGTTCTCCCAAACATTTCGGTGGCTCAAACAAACGGAATTCCAAAATGGAAACCTGGTAAGTGGAAACATGGGTACCAACCTGGCGGTTTGCCCCTCCGATCGTTTCATTTTGAGCCACACATCTCCGGAGCTTAGAAAGAACGATCCTTGGAACGAATGGAGGCAAGCACGTTCCATTGATTTCTGCCTGATCCTCGGGGTTCCTGCGGGTCCCGTTCGCCGCCAAAGCCCCGAAGCCCCTTGCCCCTTGCCGAAGCCCGAGCTTCCGGCCACTGCCAGCATCAGCCCCTGCCGCGCCGCAGGGTCCACCGAGGGCTCCGAGGCCTCGGAGGCTCGGAGGACTCGGCGATTCGGGGAAGGAGCTGGGAACATCGGTGGCCTTTTGGAAAAATAGGATGGCCCTGGTAAATGGAATAACCCCCATCTAAACCATGGCCTGGTGGAAAAATCCATGGGGGAACCCCCCTGGAAAATGGGGCAGAACCATCCCAAAACCAGGAATCGCCCTCGATTTGTCTGTTAAGCAAACCATACTTATGCCTGAAAATCCCCCACTTTTGGAGAAAGGGTACCCTTTGGGCAAACAACCCAAACACTCAGCCTGATCCTTGGAATCGGAGGGTCCGACACTCTTGAGAAACCCGGCTCCTGTTGAGGGCCCAGCGTTTGGGCAGAAACCTGGTGGATTGGCAGGGGGAAAAACAGCCTCAAAACACTCAATTGCTTTGACGGGGTTTGGGAAGCCGTTGGGATGCAACACGTGACGGATGCTTCAGTTCGGGCTGATTCCTTCTCACTTGATCTTAAACTAAGAAGCGCCCCTAAGAAAAGGAATGCCGGCACCACCGGGTGTCTGGGGCACTGAACACTTTACAGCTATTCCAAAGCAGGCAATAAGAATTGCGCCTCCGAGGAAAGGATCTACATCAGAATGGGCTCATCTTACCCAAAACCGGGTTATTTAAACACGCCCCCTTCTTCTGGACCAAGAAATGGGAACAAGACAAACTGAGGGGAAGTGACCTCATGCCGGTGCATGCGCGTATGCGATCCTTGGTCCTAGCGTGTCAGGGACTACAAGGGTCTATGTTGGTTATTAAAAGAACGGCGGGGGCTACAAGGTACTCCTGAAGGCGAAAGGAATACTTTAGCCTATCGCGAGCTCACCGATTGGGGAGCAAACATCCTCCTGTAGCAGCCGCGTTTGTCGGCTGAGGAACCTGCCCGCGGAAGGGGCCGGGTCTGGCAGTGTTCTTTTTTTTTTTGCCTAGATCTGGTTGCTTTTGAGCACGGGGCTGAACCACTACTACTTTATCAAGGCGAAAGGTGCCCAGGCGCACTCGAACTGCGCAGGTTTGGGAAGCGCTTTCTTGCCTTATCCTTCTCGAACGGCTCGTCTGGAGCATGTCAAGCAGACGCATCCGCCGAGGCGCAATGCAACATCTCGCGGCCAAGTCAGGGCTCTCCACGCTCCAAGTCTGGCCCCAAAGTGCGGGCAGGCCGCTGGCAAACCAAAGTTGGTCGCCATTGAACCGTACAGTTGCCTTCAAGACTTGGATTCAGCAGCAGCACCGCGCGCGCCTGGCGCTGGCCTGGATTTCCGCGGCACCACGGCGAAGGGCTAGCGTGTTCGCTCTGAAAGGCCGAGCGATTGAACTTCTCCACGTGTTCGTGGGACAAGTCCGCGGGCACCGCCTGCGCCTGTCCCTGCGCCTGCAAAGCGCTTTGTGCATTCCGCCCAACGTCCCGCATGTCTGCATGGCAGGCTGACTTACGTGCGAGGTGTTTTATTCAGTTTGCTGACCCGACTCGCTTTGCGCGTTGAAGTGTTGGCCTCAAGAGTACTCGGAAGCTGTAGCGAGCAATGTCCAAGCAGTGGATGTGCGGGACGTGCGGGATGCGGGGGACATGCAGAACGTGGACGTGGTGCCGCATGCTCGAGACGTGCGGCCCGCACGGAACGTTCCTGCGCGTGCAACCCGTCGGGCAACCACGCCTTTTTTTTTCCGGGTGGTGTTCAGGCAAAACAAATCAAAAACCAACCATGTTGGGTGCAAAGACACTATTCTGCAATATTCGTTCATCTTCAACCTGCATGAAGGAATCTCCAAAGGGCCATCATAGTGCCCGAGCTCCTTTGCGAAAAAACAAATCGCGGAGCCTGCGCTCAGCGCTGACTGTAGACTGCCCAAGGGCTGCCTGCCAGAGATAGGCCAACCTCTTGCTTCATGGGGGTGGTGTCTTTAAATCCAATTCCTAAATCACCTTAGGGAAACCAGAATTAGGCTGTTCAAACAATAATCATCTAAGCATTTGCGTGCGCGTTTGTATTTGAGGGTGCCTTTTCTTGAGTGGTTTCAAAGGGAAAGCCACCATTTCGGGCTTTCTTGATGAACTGAGGCTTTGGTAAGACATGCTCAAATTACCTCAAAATGGCGGTTCAACGCAGTCCCTTTCCCCCCTGAGAGAAATCTAGAGAAGCCCTCAGCATGCAAACCGCTTTATTAAACCCAGAGCTCGTTGCAAACGTTGCAAAGCCTCAGGCAATGGCCCAGGGGAAGACGTGCTCCAGCAGGACCTGGCACCCAACATGATGCTTTCTCCCCATAAGACAACTGCCAAGTCTTCGCCCCTGGTCTTCTCTGACCTTTGTCGGGCGGCCATTTCCCTGCGTCCTCTCCAAGCTAACAACAATTCTCGATAGACGAATTACCAGTTCTATAGGGAGTTCAAATAAGAACGCTGCGCTTGGGAACGACATGCCCCTGGCATATCGCATCGCGTCTGACCCTGCTCAAGATCGAGGCCTAGGGCTTTGAACGACTTTCCAGGCTCTTTGAGGAATCGGAACCAACCCAAGGGTACCGAGCCTCAACAAAGACGAGCTAGCCACCATTGGGAAACCACTAGAAAGCGCCTGCGAAAACTAAAGCCTTCACTCGCACACGCACGCACGCAGGCATTCGCATATTGGGGATTGATTGAAAACAAACCATGGTTGAAGTTCCAACCATTAAAAAGAAACACAGTGGCGGCCCTCATCTACTTCAGCGTGCCCACTAAATATCACATCGACATAGAGGCCTTGGCCTCTCAGGCTATCTGGTGGCGAATCAGGAACCCATCAGGACTCAATGTTCTAGCGAAGTGACTTCTTCCACACAAGTGTTTGTTGCTTTTTTTGGGGGAAAACGGCCAGCTGTTCATTTCCCATTTGGGGGCACGTTTTGCAAGTGTGGCGGCGTAAAAGGAATGACACACCATCCCTGCCGCTTCCCTTCAAGAAATCCTGAGCTTTTCAGTCCCAAACTCTAACCTCCCTACCGTCCCAGCAAGAAGAATTCTCGAATCCAAACCAATCAAGCCACCCATTAAACAAATAAAGTAACTTGTTGGTGTCAAAGGAAGACCGAATCGAAACCACCAGTGAAGTCTTTTAACCCCCCAAAAGGAAAAACACAACTAAGTCTTCTGGTTTCAAAACAACAACAACAACAACAACAAAAAAAAAACATATAAGAACAACAAAAAAACGGGAAACCCAAAAAGGAAACCCACAAAGTATGTCTTTTGGTTTCAAAAGAACCCCCCGCCCCTCCCAAAAAAAGGAAAACCATCAAGTATACGTCTTTTTGATGAAAAAACAAAAAAAAAAACAAATCGGTCACCCGCGCCACTCCTCTCGCCGGCCCTCGATTTCCCTCTCCGCCTCTGCCCAGCTGAGGCGCGGCAAGCGCAGCTCCGCGACCAGCGCCGAGACCGCGGCGGGCGGCTCCACCACGCCCGGCCTCGGAGGAATTCGTCGCCCCGAGGGAAGCCGAGGGATCCGCTTGGCGCCCATTTTTTGGGGGGGGACCACAAAATGGCGCAAGAACAGGTGGAATGAAATCCCCCCCCCAAAAAAAAGAGCAAGCACCTCGGGGCAACTGGGAACATAGGGTTCTGTCGTACCTTGGGGGGGACCAAAATGGCGCAACGGTGGTTTCCTTTGCAAAGGAGGTCCCTTCAAAAATGTAAAACAAATTGGTTTGATTGTTTGGTGGTTCGGTTTGGCGCCCACAAGAACAGGTGAAATCCGGTTTGATTCTTTGGTGGATCTCTTCGGCGCCTACAAAAAACAGGTGAAATAAAAACAAGAAGGGGCACCGCTGGGCAACTGGGAACATAGGAAGGCATCGTAGCCTTTTGGGGGCCAAATTTGTGGGTCCCTTCAAACATGTAAAACAAATTGGCTTGATTGTTTGGTGATTCGGTTTGGGTTTTTAATTTGGCTGTGGCTCAAAAAACCGGTAGCCACAATGGAACCCTGGTAAGTGGAAACATGGACCAAAACCTGCGTAACCCCTCCTGTGCAATTTTGAGCCACACCCGTTTGGCGCCTACAAGAACAGGTGAAATCCCCCCCCCCCCCCCAAAAAAAAAGCACCACTGGGAAACTGGGAACATAGGGATGCGTCGCAGCTTTTTTGGGGACCAAAACGGCGCAACTGTGGCTTCCTTTTGGGGTGCCTGTAAAACCGGAAAACACATAACGCAACTGTACAAAAGAGATACTCATGGTTTGTACGAACAATTCGGGGACCCCTTTAGATCGTTGTTCGGCTTCCTTGTGGTTTGCTGCTTCCTCTCGGCTTCCTTTTGGTTTCCCTTGGTCTCCCTTTGGTGTGAATTTTGATAGGGGAGCCTGGGGTGGACATCACTCAGGTGGAAGAAAGCATGTGCGCCACTTGTGAAAAGGATCCCCCCTCAAAATCAGACCAATACAAGTGGAGCCCCCTGTAAAAACATATAGTGCCCCTTTCATGAAAGTCGGTGTTTTTTCATTGGAGCTTGTACCCCTTTTTGGGTGGTTTTGAGGGAAACCAGAAGGCCAGAAACACACATTTGGGCCTATTTTTATGACACATACCTATAAGGCCCGAAGGTACGAAGCGAAGCAAAAAAACAAAAAACTGATTTCTCGTGGTTTTCCTTCGGAAGCGCAAGGGTGCGGAACGTAAAGCGATTCGAAACCATTCCTGGACTTTAGGAAAGGATATCGTATACAATAAGTTTGGGGCATCCCATGTGTAACGGTTTGAGGGTGCCAACCTCAACATGAACCCGCAAACGTACGGGGTGAAGCACTGCTTTGCTGGGTCATGGCAGACGACCCCAGACTCGCTTCAGCCTTCTTACTGGCACAAGCGGCATCTTAGAATGGGAAACTCGTAGAAGCATACTACATATATGAAATTGTAACCGATTTATCGGGGAATCAGACAACTTTTGGCGGGGAACACCCCCTAGAGGGGTTCTACTTAGATCGGTCAACTTGCTTTTCCCTGAAACTGGAGACCACACACAAATTCTCCCCTAGCCCCTCTCCTTCGCTTTTCCATGCAGCTCTAAATAGGGCATCATCGTTAGGATCTCATTTGCAGCCAACAAGAAAGGGCGGGCAGGGGAAGAGAGTGAGAAAGGGCCCCCTATTTTCCTTGGACGACAGTTCTGCTCCAGCACAACAGGATTAAAACCAAGAACGAAAATGGAAAAAGGCTGCAACAACTGAGCCACCTAGAGCTACACCAAGGCTACGTGGCACAAAAGCAGCACGTCCCTCGACTCAAAAGCAGCTAGGTGCCGCGCATAGTGATGCCCGCAGCTCTGAGCGCTGCGACCACTTCGGAGCATGCCTGGCGCTCGAGGCTCAGAGCGCGAAGCGGGCGGCGCGAAACGAGCGGCGCGAAACGAGGCGCCAGGTGGACACATTTTTGGACCCGCCCCAGTGGACCTCGGAAAGTAGAACCCCTCCTACCGAAAAGGGGCCGCCTTCCTTCCAAGTGGTCTGAATCTGAAAATCTACCAGTTCTACTTGGATCCGGAGGGTGCCAGTGGCCCAAAAATCCATCCTTCCCTCCGAACGGTGTATGCAAGCTAACCAAACGGCACCACACACGAGCACGCGATAACTCTTTCATCCGAGCAGTGTGTTGGTGCCAGGGACTCATCTTCCCCTGTCAGATGACCAACGCTGGGTGGGCCTCATGGGCCACCCAACTCACAATTCTCAAAAACTGAAGAACGGGTGTGCAGACTGATAGCGCCCGCCCCTGAGCCGGGGCCCGTGGCACCCAGGCCACAGGGGGGTCTGCCACCAGGGGAAGTGAGTCACCCACCGGCTCCGGTCACGGGAGCATGGGTGGGCCCACGCTGAGATCAAATGCATCTCCATTCAGGAGACGCGGGAGAAAAACAAACTCCTCACAGAGTTCCTGCTTGGGGACCCTTTGCAAAGGGTCAAACCCAGAGAAATCTGGGTGCGTCAGCTCATCAGCCCATTGATTGAATTCACGGGGCACATGGTTGGCCGCCAGCGAGCAGCCATGGGTGTGGAGCAGGAAGACCAGCTCCATCAGGATCGCCGCCGTGTAGGGCTTCTTGGAGCCAAGGTTGAGCATCGCCATGACGTTGCCCTGATTGTCACTGCCCACCGGGAGTCGGACCCGGGAGGACAGAGGGCCTTGGTGCGTGAGGATCATGTTACAGAGGAAGAGCGTGCCCAGCATCTCCAGAGCTGCAATCCTCCGCTTTGGATCCCCATTCTTGAAAGCCCAAGGGTACTCCTCCACATGGATCTGCTCATGGAACCAGTACACCTCCTTCTTGTCCGGTTCCACCGTGTTGGAGCACCAACCTCCCACAAATGCCAGTCCGTCGTCCGAGGCGCTAGCGTCGCTGCAACCCCACCAAGAGGACTTCGGCAAGTAGGGGGAGTACTGGACGAAAGGCGTGTTGAAGAGGAACCGCAGCATGAACGCCAGCATCCTGACCACCTTAGGGGGTTTCCCCACCGTGGTGGTGGCCATCTTCCAGGCCCAAAGTGGCTGGAGCATCGATTTCGCCAGCGGACATGCGGCCGTTGCCCATTGGATGCGGCCCAGGGCCTTCTCGATGTCCTTCGAGTGCATCGCCTGCCCTTCCACCATGGTCTGTAAAACCTCCATACCAGGATGTGTTTGTTGGCCGCCATGAGAACCTGCGGGATGTTCGGGTGGACCACGAAGCCCAGCCACGTGTTAACCTCCGCCAAGTGCGTCTTCTTCCAGCTAAGTGGGGTGCCCAATGCCAGGAGTGTGGCCAGCAGCGCCACCGCCAAGTTCACTGCCCCCTCGCTTCGAAGCAGCCACAGGAAGTCGTCGACGAAGACGAAGTTCCAATCCACTTGAGGGAAAAGCGCGTAGAGGACCCTGAGCAGAAGGGCTGCCAGGCGTCCCCAGTAGGATTGGGCAGTGGCCATGCCATATGTGCCTACCTTGTTCACCCACCATTCTTCCCCCAGTGAGGCCACCTGGACCTTCCTGAGGACCTTCACTCTCCGGTGGGCCTTGGTGACGTCCGCCTTGAGCAGCACCCACCTGGTGCCCGGCTCCGGCCATAGCCAGCCCCCAGGTGGAGGTTTGACGATCCCCCCCTCGGGGCCAGAGGCACCCTGAGAGGGGGGTCCCTCCTCGGCTGCCGCATGTAGCCAATCTGAACTGGCAATTGTTCATGTTTTTAAAGTTTTTTTTTGCATTTTGCATTTTTCCAGTTTTTCGCGGGCATTTGTTGCTCGATTTATGTCGCTGAGGTTGACTTTAGAGAAGTTAATTGTTTGGGTTTCAAGTTGTTTTTCGGTGGGAAGGGGGGGGGCAGGACGGGACAATAATAATGCGCCTGTGTGCCCATTGTTGCGAAAGGCTTGATTCCTGCAGCATCGTTTTTCGCTGGCTGCTCGCCTTCGGAGTCGGAACGGAATTGTCTTTTTTCATCTCGTTTGTTGTTTGAGGGCTCGGTGGCTTGCCCCGCCCCACCCCCCCTCCTCCCAAGCCCATCAATGATTGACGTTGTTGCGTTTGCTTGCGCGGGTTCGGTGGCTTGCCCCGCCCGGCCCCCTTAAACAAATCCTTTCGCTGGTTTTGGCGGCATGCCCCATCCAGCAATAGGGTGCCCAGCTCCCCCTTCCTCCAAAGTGAAGCCCGCCAACGATTGAAGTTGTTGCATGTGCTTGTGCTTGCGGGTTCGGTGGCTTGCCCCGCCCGGCCCCTACGCCTTCTGCAAGCAAGAGGGAAGGCGTCTCAGGGCAAAAGAGTCTCACAGGAAAGCTGTGAGCTGACGAACGGACATGCGTGATGCGACGCAAGAGCCGCCCAAGTCGTATGTTTCTTGCGGATCATTTTTTTCAAGCGGATAGATGTGTTTTTGCAGAGCAGATGTGCTTGTTGCGGTGTGCGCTTGCGGGTTCGGTGGCTTGCCCCGCCCGGATCATTTTTTTCAAGCGGATAGATGTGTTTTTGCAGAGCAGATATGCTTGTTGCGGTGTGCGCTTGCGGGTTCGGTGGCTTGCCCCGCCCGGCGCCCACAATGACTTACGCTGGTTTCGGTGGCATGCCCCATCCAGCAGTAAGGATTCAGAAGGGGCGCTTCTGAAACCGCCCTTTTCCGGAAGCGTTCTCAGAAAGGCTTTCGTGTGTAAGGGCGGCTCGAAAAACAAGACTTTCGTGGGAAGTCTGCCTGCAAGTCTTGTTTGGTTTTTTGAAATTTCGGCTCTGACATGTTGAACTGCCCGTAGAAGGGAAATAGCGTGAGAAAGTCTACCAATGGCACGGGGGCCTGCTCGCAAAAAAGGCAGCGCAGTGAAGCAGCTTTGCTCCTACAAGAAGTGCAGAGCCAAGAAGGACGTGAAGAACAAGTGCCACACAGCTCGCCGTGAGGAAGTGGATCTTGAGCAATGTCGGCCCTTAAGAAGCCACTGTCAGACTGTAAAGTTCTGTGGTCAAACGCATTTAGACGCCTGCCTATCAAAAAAGAAAAAAGCTCCACCCGTTGGAAGGGAAGCTCTGGACACGCAGCAACTGGCCAGTCTTTTTCAAACCTTGGTGGAGCTAGGCCGTGGCCACAAACAAAAAAGGGTCCTGCGGGCTGCGTGGGGCTTGTCTTTGTTTACAAACTTCAGGTTCGGAAAGACTTGCAGCGTGCCCGTGTCCATGTCTGCCAAATCGCAGTATAGCTGAGCAAAAGCTTCGTGCTCCGACGACAAGAGCTGTCCCGCCAGCTGCTCGTCGGCTGCTGCGTCGGCGTTGAACACCTCAACACGCCCAAGCCACTGCTGAAACGCAACTGCGTCCAGCTGGGGACAAGCCACCTGAGCTGGCACAGTTGGCTTCAGGCAGTCCTTGAATTCTTCTGCACCAGCAAAAGGGGTGGCCAAATCATGAAGCAAATGCACAACAGCCGTGGCAACTCCGACCGCAGAGAAGTCATGAAGCTTCCGTGCGCCCAGAAGCATGTGCTGAGGACGCAAATCCTCTGCGCACGTTTGCCCTCGCAAGACAAGGATCGTCTTTGAGCAGTCCGAGTGCACAGTGACGCAGGAGGCAGCGTTGAGCGTTTGTCGCGTGCGAGCCCGCAGCGACTCGGCCAAGCAAAACTTGAGCTTCTGGGCTCGGCGGCGAAGGATCTTGCCGCCGGACCAGGCAATCCCATCATCACCGCCATCTTTTCCCTTGCGTGTAGCTCGCAGAACTGCGATGAACTCTTCGAGAGATGGGGCCATCAGACGCAGTCGGATGTCTTCATTTGATGCTGCGGCCTGGTGCCTTTTGGTTTTCTCATGGTCTCGGAAGTGGCTGACCTGCAATGAAGCAATGGTTCGAAACTCCGCTGACACATGCCCAGCAGCTTTGCAGGCAGCACAGCTGACGGAGAAGTCGCCTGTGTCCCACTGCACAGCCTCCAGCCACGGGAACTGCTCGGTCCACCGCCTGCCAAAGCGGGCCCATGCGCTCTGCGCGGACATTCCGGGCAGCTTGGGCCAGAGCTCTGTCCAGAGGGCGCTTGCGGAAAAAAACTTAAGTTTACGCACGAAGTTCCTGTCCAGAGGGCCTCTGGAATCCGAAGGTCGACTCAACAAGCCGCAGCGCTGTGGACTGTCCAAAGAACTAGAAACGTTCGAACACCGGGAATTTTGCGTTCCCCGAAATCCAAGAATTGTAGTCCACTCGACGGTCCGCAGCGCTGTGGTTTGTGGAGACAACTTATGGAAACCGGAGACCCTCTGGACAAATGGGGTCTGTGGAAAAAAACTTAAGTTTTTTTCCGCGGACCAAGCTGATCGGGCGAGCGTACGTGTCATGTGGGAAACTGGATGGACGTGACCGGACTGTCTCTCGGCAACCCTTGATCCTCAGCACTTCATGACGCCGGACGTCCTGATTCAATGTCCTTGGCTGGCCGCATGTTTTAAGCACCGTTCGATCTGCGTTTGACATCTCTCTGCAGCAGCAGCGGGGGCACGCCGCCGACACAAATCCAATGTGCTGGGGCAAGCCACCAACGCGGGCCGGGGCACGCCGCCTGAGCCACATCATGGTTACCAAACTCACAAACTTACGCGGCAGAGCGCGCAAAAGCCCAGCGTTGCGGCTCAGTTGGGCTCCCTGTCCGTGGGGTCGTCCTCCTCTTCCTCGGCTGGGTCTTCAGTGGCCGGCGGCGCGGCAGCCTTAGCCTTGACTCGTCTGCCCTGCTTGGGGGCTGGTCCGGCGCCTGGAGCAGGCGGCGCAGCTTTCAGCATGTTCTCCACCAGGTCGACCAGCGCCGAGCCACTGTTCGGCGGCCCTGCCCCCCCGTTCTTGGCAGGAGGAGGCACTGGGCCAAG